GGCTTGGGCTTTCTTCTCTCTCTCTCTCTCTCTCTCTCTCTTCTTTTTCTTTTGTGGATATTTCTATGGTTGTAATGGTGGTTAATGAGATGAGGGGTTGATTGATGGATTATGAGCTTCAGGTAGTTTATCTAGTCTCTGGCTGTTGTTTACTACTGGTACTTGGTAGAGATTGTTGGATAATGTTCCGTCATGGGTTACTATAATGTATTAGCACGCGTGCTGCTTCTATGTCCACAGGCTAGCCGCAGGTTTTACTTGAAGATTCTCTACGTGACTACGCGACCATCGATAGAAGAAACCTGGTAACTCGTGAACAAAAGAAATACAGTTTTAAGTATATCAGTAACAGTTGTGTACTGTACAAAACACGCTACCTCGGCGACTACCTCCTCATCTATCTATTAATCACCAAATCAAACGGAACAAGTGCCATAACTCTGAGACGCGGAAAGCCTGCTAACCTAAATTTTACAAGGTGTTACGGGTGGTGTCCGCGCGGATACGGTTGTAGTCGAGGAGACCCTCAACGCTGCCGAAGGCGCTCACAGCGACGTCCTGATCCCAGATGCGGCGGTTGGCGAAGTCCATGACATCCTTCTCGCTGATCTGGCCGATTGTGCGCTCAATGTCCTCGGGGGAGAGGCGGCGGCCAGTGGTGATGATCTGGCGACCAATGTCTTCGGCGACGGCAGTGGTGCCGTCAAGAGAGAGGAGGATGGAAGCCTTGAGCTGAGCCTTGGCACGCTCAACCTCGGCGGAGGTGACGTTGAAGCACAGGCGAGACCATTCACGCATGGCGAAGTGAGTGAGGTCGTCGAGGGCGGTCAGGTTCTCAGAGACCAGGTAGATACCCCAGAGACTTAAAACAATCATCGTCAGCGATACAATCAAACGGTCAGGTCGCAGACTCTGCGAGAGATATAAACTTACCCAGTGTCGCTGTAGCTGGTGGAGAAGCTCATGAAGCTGTTGGCAAGGCCGTGGTGCTCAACGAGGGAGCTGAGCTTGCTGCCGAGGTAGGGAGAGTTGCCCATGGCACGGTCCCAGTTGCCAACAATGGCCTGGGCGACGAGGGCAGTGAAGTAGTCATCGTCCTTCCAGCTGACACCCTCGACGGCGAGGGCAATGTGAGCAGTAGGGATGGTGTCATCACGGAGTCTCACTTCGGATCCAATGAACTCGGGGGTGCGCTTCTGCTCAGCGGTGAGAGCGAGAGCGGCAGAGGTAGGGGGCTTGCTGGGGAGGCTGCCGAAGTGCTCCTCGGCGAGGCGGACGAGCTGCTCGTGAGGGATACCACCGGCACCAACAAGGACCATGCGGTCAGCAGTGTAGTTGGTCTTGATGTAGTCGACCAGGTTGTCGCGGGAGATGGTCTGGATGTTCTCCTTGGGGCCGAGGATGGTGCGACCAAGGGGCTGGTTCTGGTAAGCGGTGGCGTGAAGGTGGTCGAAGACAACCTCCTCGAACTGCTTGTCAACCTCCTCCTGCTCACGGAGGATCACGTCCCTCTCACGCTCAATAGCACCGGGCTCGAGCTTGGAGTTCTGAAGGATGTCGGCGAGGATATCAACGGCCTTGGGAACATCGTTGTTGAAGGCCTTGGCGTAATAAACGGTGTTTTCTCTCTGAGTGCCTGGTTAGTTTCCGAGCCAATTCTTGGTTCTATCATAATTCCGGGTCGTACCGATGTGTAGGCGTTCAGGTGAGCGCCCATGTTCTCGATCTCAAGCTCCAATTGGTGCTGGCTGCGCTTGTTGGTGCCCTGGAAAACGGTCAGAAACATGTCCAATACTTGGGTTTGAGCGAAAGAAGTACCTTGAAAGCAAGGTGCTCAAGGAAGTGCGCCGTTCCGTTGGTCTTGTCAGTCTCTGCCCTGCTGCCGGCATCGATCCACACGCCAACAGTCGAGGTCTGGGCCCATGGGGAGTACTCAGTAGCGATCTGAGACCAGTTAGTGATATTGCGAAGCGATTGAGCATACTTGTTTTCCGTACCGTGAATCCGTTAGAGAGGGTGGTCGACTGAGTGGTGGATGGGAGGGTGACCGGGGAAGAGAAGCCTCGCTTGACGGGCTGGATGGACTTCAGAGCAGCCCGGCTCCGGAGAGCCTGGTTGAAATTGAATGCTAGGCGCCGGGAGGCCATTGTGACAAGAATTAAGGTGGATGTGGAGAGAAGGGGAGGGATGATGCAAAGGTGCAACGGCTGTAAAGACGGTCAGCCCTGGAGATGAGAGGTTGAAGTTCGGGAGTCAAATTGTTCGCCAGCCCGTCAGCCAATCACATGACCCGCTTTTCCAAACCACTGTTTTCGATCCCGACTGTTCCCTAACGCTTGATTCGGCCATCCAACCGCGACAAGCGATCGTTCAACATGGAATTCTTCCATGTCACGAACACTTCTGACACTTATTCTAATGGCATCGAAAGAACTTTACTGAACCACGTTTCTCTTAGATTTCAAAAGGAGAAAAAAAAATATTCATATTCGCAGTCATACTAAATTTACAAAACACTCACACAGGCGCCTCACGCAAACCGACTCGCATATTGCCTGATATTCTCAATCATAGGAACATCCTCCGAAAATCCCAATTCGATCGCACGGTCCGTCTTGAAATTAGGCGTCCACGTTTGCACAATCTTGTCAATAGCGGCGTCGTACTTCTCTTCCACCAATGCCCTGCGTTCTTTACCACCAATCTCCTCCAGCGCATCCAGCATTTCCTGAATACTTACCTTCAATCCCGGAAGATTGACAGACCTCGACTCCCCAAAGGCCTCCTTCGGAATGTCCTTCGCATGCAAGAGATTCTTCACCACCGTGTAAGGCGAACAGATCCACATCTCCGTCTCCTTACTGACCGGAAGAATCGCCTTCTTCCCGTTAAACGGCTCCCGGATAATGTCGCTTGCAAAGCTGCTCGCTGCCTGCGTGGGCTGGCCAGCTCGAACAGTGACCGTTGGGAGACGCACTGCTCTACCATCTAAGAACCCTCTCCTCGAGTAATCGTTCAGCAATGTCTCAATGATGAGCTTCTGCGATCCGTATGAAGACGACGGCACAGGAGGGAAGTTTGTTTCGTCAATGACGAACCCAGCAGGCGCAAGACCGTAAACCGCTAAGCTGGACGTAAAGACCACTTTCACTCCAGGCATAACGACCCGAAGTCGGTCCAGGATATATCGGGTGGCATCGAGGTTGACCCGCATGCCCAGCTCGAAGTTAGCCTCGGAGCCGCTGGACATGATACCGTGTAGCAGGTAGACAGTGTCGAAACGGTGAGACTCGGTGAACATCTCGTCCACCACCTTCGGCGACGTGAGATCCGCCTGTACGCATTTCACTCGCGACGTATGTTGAACAGCGACCCCAGCGGGGACTGCTGGTGTGACAATGTCTGTGAGTGTTACAGTAATATCAGGAGAGCTCGAAAGGAGGGCGGAAGCCAACTCCTGGCCCACGTAGCCGTTTGCACCGGTAATGAGAATCGACATGTTGGTCTATTACCCTCGTAATGGTTTAGAAACAGAACAAGGAAGACGTAAAGCACAGGATACAATCCGCGGGGTATATATATACTGGGTCTCATAAGAGTGCTTGAAATCCCACGAGCGAGTTACCGTGACTAAATAGCAATTATCCCAGCCGTCAAGAGACTGCGGGGTCAGACGGAGAGATTAATCCTCAGCGTGGGATTATCCCCGCTCTCGGTCTTTGCAAGCCCCCATCATCGTTGTGGTGTCAGTTACGAAAGGCTGTACTACGCAGCAATTCCGAAGTGGACAACGCCCTTGTGGTCGTAGTCGGAGAGTAATCCGATTACCGAACCGCTGAAGGGTCGAAAACTCTATAGAAGCAGGACCGGATCAACGGCGAAAGTCCGAGAAACCGCAAGGCAGTCAACTTCATATGCCGCTGACATGGAAATTGCCTAGGCATCGAGTGCTCTGGGTAACCGTGTGAGCTTCAAACAAATTGTCGCTCTTCTTCTGTCTCACCAAGACGCGATGCACATTGTGCAGAAGTGGACATAACGGGAGACGGCAGATTCTCACACCTTCCCACGACCCTAACATGATCAACCCGAGTTACTGTCTAAGAAATGGCGGCAAGAAATCTGATAATTAAACATATAGTTCTCTATTCTTTCCCAGACAGCTAGATCCCATACTGAACACAATAGAGTAATCGGAATCGGAAACATGAATATTTTCTGACTCAAAAAGTACATTCAGAAGAAACCTCGAGATAGCACAAAGAGAAACATTTCAGCATATCACAGAACACTTGACGCCAGAAAAAAAAAAGCATAAATGATTAAGACATGAAAAGAGACCAGACCCCCATTTTCTTTTATGCAGAACGCTTGTAGATACCAGCAACGATACAGTGATCACGTTCGAAAGGCTCCAGAGTCAACTGCTCCTTGGGCTTGATCCTCTCCTCTCTCATCTTCTGGACTTCGCGAGTGAAAACAACCTCCGGCTTGGCGGTACTGTCAATACAGTTGGCCTTGACGGAGACGATGACACCGCCACCCTCCTTGAGGAACATGTGAGCGTTCAGACCAACAATACGGGCCTGATCGGGCTGGGCAACATCGGCGAAGATAACGTCAACCATAGGCACCAGCATACGGTAACGAAGGGGGTGACGGGCATCGTCGACAATGGGGACGACGTTGGTACGGTGGGTGGCCATGCCGATCAGATCACGACCGGAACGGTGAGAGAACTCGACGGCGTAGACGTTACCAGTAGGTCCAACGATATCAGCAACGTGACTGACGGAGGTACCGCTGGCAGAACCAAGGTAGAGAACCTTAGAGCCAGGCTTCATGTAGATATCATCGAGACCACCCAAGACACCAGCAGCAAGCTTGGAACGGAAAGGGTTCCAGACACGGTACTCGGTCTTGGTAGCGGTACCATCCTCGGTAGGGGTTTCAACAGCAATGCGCTTCTCACCGTAGACAGCCTCTCCGGGGGTCAGGTTCTTGGTGACAAGCAAATCTTCCTTACCGCCACGGGCGACGAAGATACCGGCATGACGGTGGGGTTCCTGAAAAATGACCGGAGTCAGCTGCTGAGATCCTTGTACCATTGCGAATTATGAAGCACTTACAATGATGACCTTGGCACCACCCTTAGCACCACCTCTAGCACCGCCGCGAGGGCCGCCACGGCCACCGCGACCACCACGTCCAGGAGGGCCGCCACGTCCACCACGACCTCCACCGCGGGGTCCACCACGGCCACGAGAGGCACTTCCGAGTCCGCCTGTAGATCATCGTAAAGAGATCGTATTAGCCTTAACGTTCTCCTCAAGGGCACAGCAGCTCGAGTAACTGTCGCAAATATCGCCCTCCGTGGCGAAAGAGATCTGACAATGATTTAAGGAACAGATTTAGATGCCAATTGGAGGGAGACAATGCTGAGCTTCAAGGTATCTGCTTGCTGTCCCAAATGGAACTGATCGTGAACAAACCTCTACCACCACCACGGCCACCGCCGAATCCACCACGTCCACCACGTCCACCAGGGGGTCCACCACGTCCGCGAGGAGCACCGAAGCCCATTGTGTTATATGAATCGAATAGGATCGACTTTAAAGTGAGGTTGAATAGGACTCGAATGAGGTTGCTGTACTAGCAACGAGAGCAAAAGAAATTTTCCCGGGGGGAAGGAACTAAAGCCGCTCGATATAGGTGAAGCTGTAAATCGCAAGTGTCACTGGACCTTTCGAAGCAGCTGGTGCAGAATTATCGCACTTGCACTTGCTTTCAGTAATCGGTCGAGGCCGTGCTGCTTGTCGTTGTTGCGGTCGAGATTTTTCATGAGTGACCGGCGGAACTTTGAAAATCAGAATGCGCTAGTCCGTATGGGGACTAGACCCCGGCCTCACTGTCGTGGGAACTTCGAATCCCGTGATGTGCCTAGATAGCGAGATCACCTGATTCGTGCAAGCCCTGCGCCAATTGGATTTTGGGACGAGAATCGTGGAGACATTGACGGTCATGGTCACAGTACTACAGGCATGCTCAGAATTTGACCTTGAATCTAGAAAACTGATGCGAATATTCCTGACTTATAAAACCCGCGATTAGGTCATGGCAAATCAAATAGCATTCCAACCCCCAATTATGTACATTATCGAGTTCCAGTAATCACCGTCATTTCCCGTAAAAATAGTAATTTGCAGCATATTGAACAGTGAACTCCGATGGCATGTCCTTGCATGTCTTTGGTGGCGATCCCGCCGCAGTGTCCACCCGGTATACGCCGGAATAGTCCCCTACCGTGCCACTCGTGGCTGATAGATAAAGCCATGCAACGGCCCCATTGTTCCCTTGAATAGCATTCGACGGCGCATCAACCTGTGCCTCTTTCTTTGTTCTTGCAATACCATACTGGTGTGTTGCCGTGGTATCAAGGTTAAACACGGGCGTTGAGCCGTCAAAGAAGTGGTGGCCCATCAGATCCAGGTTTGCCGGAGGCAGGCGATCTGAGTCGCTGTTTGGCAAGGGTATCCGGTATGCAATGTTCGGCAGCATGGTAATCATGTCCGAGAAGCTTCCTGCGATACAAGTGGCGTTGTAGAGGTTTGCAACAGCGCCGACAGCTACAGGCGTCGAGTTTGAAGATGGTGTCGCACAGGTATAGTTCTGTCTGACGTTAGTTTTGGTGTGGTGGCCTGCGGGGTGGCGTTGAATCTCATTTACCTGTGTACCGCGCCCCAGTGCGACGTATAGAAGCTTCTGGCCTGAGGGAGAGGGTAACCCGGACGCCTGTGCCGGCAGTGCAATGCTAGATGTATCGCACGTGGCCGAGTTGAGTATATCCTTGGAGTGCTCGATATGCTTGCTCACTCTCCCCAGGAACTCCGATAGGTCGTTGGAGAAGTTGTATGCATTGTCGAAGAATGCCGGGGCCGCAAACGAGCATGCTGTTAGACAGGCAATAAATACAAATGATGAACGCATTCTGGATGTTTTAGCCAGCCAGCGGCCACAGTACCAGCAGTGGGTTGTGTGAAATTAATGTATAAAGGCAAGATAAAACTGTGTGAATGGAAGTTGGACAGGATTGGAAGGGACAGGAGAGGCTCTTGGGAGGCCCAGTTGGTAGGCAGTAGGGTAGATCGAGGAGTCTCTTCGTGACTATCAAAGTCGTTCGAGGAGAAGAGGGGAAAGGGAAACTAGGCCAGCCCTAGACAAACGACATTCACGTTGAGTGGAGAGGGTATCAAGACGGATGCTAGTAGGAATTGAGGGTCTGACAATTTTCTCCTGTTTGTCCCAAGTCGAGGGCGCTCATATATAATGATGTTATGCTCATGTTTGTCCCCGGTGTAACAATCTGCACAAGTCATACAGGTAGCCATCCAGTATTCGAAACTCGAACTGTAGTATCTATAAACATCATCGAGTGAGATCATCGCAGAAGCCGCCAACAAAAAGTATATTCGATGGGGCTTCTTGATTGGTGTTGAGGATGCGCTGACCGCAATCCTTCAACTTGACCAAGATCACTAGTTTGATGTTGTACTATGTAAAGGACAGGGAGTGGGTGGGCGGCTATTGCTGCAGCATACCGGTCCTCATTCGAGCATGATTGGCGTATCTAGCCACTGAAACCCGATCTAACACAATCTGTCGGAGCACTACATGTGGCAGGGAATTCGATGAGCTGATTCGTGAGGCTTCCTGCAGGTAAATCTCCGAATAATCTTAGGATCTAAATATATCGGTCGGTGGGCAGGCCGGGCGCTTAAATGACTGCCGATGTTGGTTAGTGTGCAGAACGCAGAACTGGGATATGGCGGGGCTTTTCTTCATCAGCCGACCCGTACCCTGTCAGAACGGCAATTGCTATCGTTCGAAATTAGATTCTTGCCATTTTTAGGGTGGACCTTAGCCATAGGCCCTAGATAGGTCGAATAGCTCCTACTACCCAATCCGACTTGCGCCGGTCCTTACCGTAACCTTCCCCCGCGTCCGAATGATCATATCCAAGCCAACAACCGTCAGTCTCTGTCTTCCGAAAAGCTTAACGTATTAATATTTCTAAATATAAAAAATATTACTTGCATTAGTGTGATCACGGGTTAATAATAACTAGTACTGGGGATTGTAACGTGCATCTAGCCTTGCTTTGCTGGTTCTTAGTGTCGGCGTACATCCATGACCAGAATAGCGTGAATAGAGAAATTACTCGGGTAGCTGTGGCTCCTCTGTCGAACAGCTTCCTTGCTTGCGGGGCAGTAGTTGGCGGGAAAACATGAGAAGTAGGTGGTCTCGTCTACATACCAGCCAGTATCATCATGCCTTGCGCGAAAGATATATGCATTTGGTAGGTTTGGAATTGCCATTGCGCCTTTTTGTACACTTTTGTGTGGTCGGATTGAAGACATAAAACAAGGAGACAATGAGAAGGGAACACCTTGTATCTGAGTATGTGCTTGTCGATGTGTACAATTTGTGCATAGGTTGGAAAATTAACGTGTATGATAGAATCATGTCAACTTGGCAGAGCATATTATGGAAATTAAAGAAGATTTGAATCTGTAACCATCACTGAGTCTGGGGGCAAATTGAAAAAATCGGAGCGAGGGGTAAAAATGAAAATAAAATAAAAATGAGAAAATAAGGAAAATAGAAAAAGAAAAAGCAAGGCGAGAAGCATTGAAAATTGGCAGAGACAGTAGTACGAGGAAATCATTCCATGACATGCTGGCATTGTGGCTTCCATTTAACAAACCCGAACGTTGAATCGAAGTCAAGTGCTTATTTATCAACCAGGAAATAAACTGATAGATAGGAAAATTGCACATAGGTAGGTATCCATGAGTGTTTCCGGAATTCAATTACAGAAATACTGGAGAAGCAGAGTCAAGGTAGAACTCGATGCCGATCGTAGGACTAGATGTCGGATAGCTGTAAAAAGATCTCCCCGAATTCATATCGGATACGGTATCGAGTGCTACGGTCTTCATAGTCCTCCTGGCAAACTGATAAGAAACCTTTAGTTGCAAGTGTGAGTATATGCATCAAGCCCTGTGTGGCTACGGAAGGAGAAGTTTCAGCTGGTGGCAGAAGTGCTGAAAACCCGATTGCTTTGCTGCCATTAAAAGCGGACGGCGAGTTGGTAAAACCGTCTTCATCCATTTCTCCAGCATATTCCGCGGGCATGACCTCGAGCTTCTTTATTAGAAACCCAAGGAAGTTCAGGCTTTCTTGGTCCAGGCTGGACTTCGATAGGCGATCTTGAAGAGTCAGCTGACAATTGTACGTGCTTGCATTGGCGTCATCCCCAGTGTGTCCATGGCCATCGCCTAATAGTTCGGTCTGTAAATATTGACTCAAATCAAAGTCATTTAAGACGTCCATGTCATCATTTCCGGGTAGCGTCAAGCTGTCGAAGGCCTCTGCGGCGAAGGGGATACCTCTACCAGCAAGGGGACTCGCGCTAGTTAGGCGGTTGCGTGATCGTCCGCGTCCAGCAAGATGAAACGCAGTGGGGTCCCTGCCTCGTGAGGCCGAAGGATCGCTCACATGTGCTACACCACGGAGGCCACTTGCAGCAGATGACCCGTGCTGAGAGCTCTGAATAGAGGCTGTGATATTCCATGGCATCTGAGATGAGAACGAGTTGTCATCACAAAAAACGGACGGGACATGACGACCAATTTCAACCTATACAACTTTGTTAGAAACATTCAATTCAACCATATGTACAAGAGTAATGGCATACCTCTTGCCAAATATCATGATTGTCGGCCTCCTCGCCTCGACCGACTTGTTCCTCATATTCTTCTCTGGCACGGACAGCTTGCACATCAGAGTCTGCTTCACTGTCATCACCATGAAGACGACTCCGTTTTCGTCCTTTGTGTCTTGCGGTAGGGTCGAGAGCACCATAAAGCTCTTCTCCTGAGAATTGCTGCAAAGGGTGTGGTACCCGAGATGCACCCAGGCCAAGCCCAACTGAACCAATTCCTTGACCAAACACCCAGAAGGCAGCATTCCGTTTTGCTTGTGTTGGAAGCTTGTTCTGCCGTTTCTGCTTCGAGGCTATAGCCATGTTTCTCACGTAGTCGCTGTTCAGATTACCCAGGTCTGTGTTTCTCAAGGCAGTTCGGTCATCCAATGTTTGTAATCTAAGGGCCCGTCGTCTCTGGGGCATAGTCACTGCAGCCTCATCTGAAATAAGATTAAGTTCGTCAGTTGACTCAAAATCAGTGCGGCGTCTTTTAGTAGCTCGATTGGCTTGGATTGGCCTTTCATCCTGGTACTTGGCGGCAATATCTATTTCTTCATCGATTGGCATTGGCTAAGTAAATATGATCAGAAAATGCTCATCTTTGGATCTAGTAGACCTTACCTGATATTCAAATGTGGAATCATTCAATCCAATGTTTGCCTCTTCGCCCAGAAGTGGTGCTTCACTAATACGTCGACTCGCTCTTCCCTTTGCAATTTGGCGATGCACCTCCCCAAGCTCAATGAGATTGCCATCTTCGTCAAATTCAAAGTCAGGCTGAAGAAGGATACCACCTTCTTCAGCGAATGTTGTAGCTGCGAGCCCGCCTAGATTGATGCTTCTTTGAGCAGAGCTAGGTACATTGGTTTCGGCGTCAATTCCACCAGTATTTTTCCCTATTATATCATCGTATGAGAAACTAAAGCGTAGGCTAGGGCTCTGTGAAAGAGCAGATTGGCTGAGGTCTGGAGTCTTCGGCCATACGAGGTCAGAGTGCTGACTTGTAGCAGGGTCAAAGGGCACACTAAGTTTAGAAAGATCCATTCCCATCCCGGCAAGGTCGCACTCTGGCAAAAAGGATGGGTCGTAAGGTAAGATAAGCTGATCAGGTCTAACATTTCATCACATCAGCTTATGCTTCGAGATCATTCTTGGCACACTATTTCTCTGGATAACATACCTAGTCTTTCCAGCGGTTGGATCTAGCCCACCCCCGGGTAGGACTTTCAACAGTGTTCGCATTTTATCGTGCATTGCTTGGACATCCGTAAGAGCATAACCACACTGTTGGCTGTACACTCGTGAGACTCCATAGCTATACGAACTATTAGCTGCTAAACTAATGCCTAGATATTGACTAGGAATCGTACAGCAGATTGCCCTGGAGCCTCAGCGCCATTGGCGCCTCCGGGTCCATGATAACATGACAGGCTCTCGGAACGTCGACATCCAATATAGCCTTTCTATTGAGCTTTTTGCTAATTGATTTTGACCCCAGAGTTGCGACCAGCCTATAAGCAAAACGGTGTGAGCCAACGCAAGAAGGTGTGGGCGGTTTTTAACAGGGTAGGTTGTATACCATATCGTGGCTACCCCATGATCGGGCGACGTGAGCACTAGGATGAAGCAATATGTCAGTAAGATTTCGATACTTCTGCCAATGGTCACTGAAGGTCTTAAGACATTTAGTGAATACAAGCCGCCCAGTGGGGCAGATCACAAAGGGCGCTACTTACTTTCATGGCTATAAAACATTTTGAATTCTCACTATCTTATAATAAGATAGTGATATAAGTTCCTGGTCTAAAGCTTCTTCTCAGACTCCACCTTGGCCATCGCAATATCACGCGTTTATATTAGATCACGCGCCGAACGTGATCGAGATATGTTAATCGAGTCGCAGAGACGTAATTTTCGGGGGGTGTGCCTTATATCCGAGTCTGCTTCAGTATGCTAGGGTTCGATGATACCCAGCCTGTACTATGAGATAACAATAGTTGAGACAGACACTATGCTAGACTCATCACTCACCAAGCCAAGATGTAGTTGTCTTACATCAATGCTTGAGATGAAAATCGCGGGAAGAAAAAACTCATCAGGCTGCAAACATTCAGGTTGTTATTGTTGACTGTGGTCGGGAAGATTGGTAAGGTTGTGGAGAGAGGACGATACATTTCAAGCATAGACTTGGGGATCTATACAATGGCCGTAATGAGGATCCTAAGGCCGCTTACTTTCCCAGAACACATGACCGCCAGAGTGCTCAAGATAACTAATCAGAGCTTGATAGAACGTATGATAAATACGAAGCTGGATTATACAAATCGATCACTGAAAATAAGAACGAAAGACCAGTACTGTACATGCCACCATCCTCGAAACGATTTATAGACCAGACCCTTATATCTGTATCAGAAGCACCGAAAGAAGAGAAAGGGAAAAGACAACGAGAGATATATGAGCCAAATACACCGAAGGACTATGGGAAGAATTGCTTTTGATCCTCCGTCTATTCTTTGCTTTCCAAAAGCACCGATCCCCCTTGCAGGCACGATACAGTATTCCTTCTCCATGCAAGTCGAGAACAGGGAAAACGGAGACATCTATGAGTGGGAAACCAAGTATTCAAGAAAACATAAGGCATGATTAAGTTGGCTATGGAGATTGAGGCAAGAGACCCTTTGTGGAGTATCACCGACCCATAGCAACCGATGAGAGACACCCGGGGTATGAGACACGCGAGAAAGATGACACCATTGTTCAATTCAAGAAACGAAAATCCCCGTCCACGAAATAGTTCATATACCTACACTCCCGCTATATTGAGGTTATAGGGACAAGTATACTAAAAATTGTTTACTCCAGAGGGATGCCCTGGTACTCGCCATATCCGAGAGCGAGGTTCATGTTTTCTGCCAATAGTTAGCACGGTACAAATTAAAGATGCCAGGCAATAGTAAACTTACGGAGGCACTGAGTAGCTGCGCCCTTCAGCAGGTTGTCAATGGTAGCACACACCACTGCGCGCTTGCCACTAGAGTGGACAGCGAATCCACCAACTTCAACGCCATGGCGACCCGCAATGTTCTTCACCACCGGGGGCTCGCCGATGATCTTCACAAGCTTCTCACCAGCATAACGTTCCTGGTAGATGTTGCGAATATCACGGGAGGTCATTTCCTTCTCGAGAGGGATGCTGATAGTTTGCTGGAGGGAGTTAGTTCTGCTACCGAATAACAATCGAAGACAGCAGGGAATGGAGAAAGGCGATAATTGAACATACATGAATACCCTGGAACCAAACAGCAACATGAGGAATGAATGCAATGTTGGTGCCAAGCTGGGAGCTGATCTCCTTCTCATGGATGTGATCAGTCAAGCTGTAAGGGATGATGTTGTTGGTAAGGTTCTCCACGTCGTTCTTAGGGCTTGGCTTGGTACCAGCGCCCGAGTATCCGGAAACACCGAAAACGGTAGGCTGTCCACCGAGGTGAGGGACGAGGGGAGCAATAGCAACCTGGGCCGCTGTTGCGTAGCAACCAGGGTTGGCAATTCTGGATGCCTGGGCGATTTTAGAGCGGGAGACCAACTCAGGCAGACCGTAGGTCCAGTTGCTATCGAAACGGTAGTCGGCACTCAGATCAACAATGACATTACCCTTCTCCGAGCCTTGGTCAACAGCCTCGACAAAAGGCTTGCAGACACCGTTAGGCAGAGCCATAACCCAACAGTCAACATCGCCATTGGCAGACATGCGCTTGACATCCTCAGGGCTAAGGTTCTCGTAGATGATCTCCCTCTTATCATAACCTTGCAACTTCTTGCCAGCCAGCTCGCGAGAAGAAACGTGGCGCAGATCCATGTGGGGGTGGGCATTGAGCAGGTTAATCAGGGCTTGACCAGTGTAGCCACGGGCTCCAATGAGAGCAACCTTGGACGGCTGGGTGTTAGACATGTTCTTCTCGCCAAGGGGTGGGTTAGGGTTAGTCGTGGAGTAAGCCCGAACCGAGTTCTTGCTGAAAACCGAAGGGCGTCCAAACCGAGAAGAGCGCAGGGCATTGCTACTGGAGGAGAATGCCCGCTTCTGCTCAGCGGAAGCACCGCTGGCGCCAAAGCCCTTGCCAATGTTGGTGGCGGCCGCGGCAGCGCGGTGCAACCTCGACTCGAGGTTGATATCACCGAACATCTGGCGGCCATGCTCATTGAACTCCTGGACCAGCTGCTTAACCTCTTCACCGCTTTCAATACCGTACCAGAAGAGAACCTCTCCCTCGCGGCTCAGGCTACCATCGGCCTTGTCGAAGAACCAAGTCAGGTTCTCGTCGTCCTCCTTAACAGTCCACACAAGCTTGGGGAAGTCCTTCTTGATGGAGGCGAAAACATTGTCGGCCACGTTAGTCAGCCATCCCGACTTGGTAATGGTGAAAGTAGCCAAGTGAGCCAAGGGGGAAGAAGCATCCTGCTGGGGAGGCAAGACAACGGCCAAGGCCTCCATGGGCTCATCAAAGTACACCTTGAAGTCACGCTCCTTCAATCCTTCAACGTAGCGCTCCACAGTAGCGCGGGCATCCAAGCCTTCCCGGTCGCGGATCAAAACATCCTTCAGCTTATCCAGGTCCTCAAACTCCGAGATAGAGGTCTTGGTGTGCACCTTGTTGCCCCTGCGGATCAAGGTACCCGCACCAGAGTCCGTGAAAAGCTCCTTCTGCAGATCGGCCGGGTGGATAATGGCAACGCTCGAGGTGCGAGGAAGGTCACTGAGAAGTTCCTTCATCTCCTTAATCTTCAGACGGGTGCCGTGACGCACCCACCACTGGGTCATCAGGTGGTCGTACTCCTCGTCGAGGTTGATCACGGAAATCTTCTCACCCGTGTCGCCGTTGAAGAGTCCACCCTTCTCAGCAAGGTAGACAATCTTGAGCGGCTGGAGTGCACGCGCCAACTCACCAGCAGCCACATCGGCGTTGACATTCAGAACCTGACCATCTGGGGTCTCGGCCATGGAGGTCAGGATAGGGAGACAGCCAGATTCGATAGCAGATTCAATTGGCTTCTTGTTAACACCATTGATCTTGCCGACCAGGTTATACTTCTCCTTGTCGAGGTAATCGGCCGAGAATACACCTGCAGTGAGAGGGCGGGCCCTCACTCCCATACGCTCCAATTCTTCGGTCAGCTTCAGATTCTCTTCCAAGAAGAGCTTCCTAGCAAGAGCCAGGGTCTTGCCATCAGTGACACGGATTCCATCCTCGAACTGCGGCTCCACACCAGCGTCTTCCAACATGCGATTCAGCTGAGGTCCGGCGCCGTGGACGACAATCGGATAGAGTCCGACATGGTTCAGGAAAGCGAGAGCGGAGGAAAGAGTCTGGAGGTGTTCGGTGATAATGGCACCGCCGACCTTGATGACAGCGAACTGCTGGGAGGAAACCGAGGTAAAGTGAGAGAGATATTGCTGAACCTCACGCTTCGAGCCGATATTGCTCAACAGCTGGACGACTGTGGAGCGAGTCGACGAAAGCTGGGGGTCAGCGGCGCGGGAATAATGACGACCCTGCAGCAACGGGACGGCGGAAGCCTTGAGGGAGTTACGAGCGCCTAGTCTCGCGGACGAAACGGCGTGTGGTGCGGAGAAGGCTCGGAGGGGCTTGCTGGTTGAAGCTCTCCGCACGGCGGTGCGAAGGGAGAACATCTTGCCAACCAGCATGCGGCAGCTTCAAGGCCTATGTCTGGGAGTCTGGGGAGGGAAGGGGGGCGAGAAGGTCAGTGTTTCAAGAAGACAAAAGACAAGGTTGGCGTTATGAGTAATAAGTAGTGAGGGAAAAAAGAAAGTAAAAGTGGAGGTGCTGCGGGCTTTCAGGAATTTGCCGCACCCCAAGTCCCAAGAAATGGAATTGTATGGGAAGATTATCGTCGGCCATCCGCCCTCGGAGTGGCTTTTTTGCTTCTTTGGGTCCTTACATGTTCGGGGGCGGTCACTCACTAGCGTATTTTATTTCACCTTTCGTCACGACCTGGTATTTCCCTCAATCACGAGATTTCCTTGCCCAAAAGCCAACAGGAAACGCCAGTGCTGACACTGAGGGGTTTGCAATAACCACTGAAGGTGAACAGAGTAATCAAGGAGCAGAACCCAGTGGGAGCAAGGTGAGCGTCAGCAGGAGGGAGAGAAAATTGGTCGATCGGCAAGTCAATACTAGCACTCCGGTACCTGAATTGGCTTTGCGACTTTCGGAGCCGATGATTATTATGTGAGCGGCGTGACTCAGAGAAACGAAAATGGCAATGAATCAGAGAATGGTTCTATCTCACTCTATTTTTTGGGCCCCAACGGTCTCCATCCCACGTAATGAAAATCTTGATATTGCAGGATACCGTGGATCTCTCTCCCCAATCAGTTAGCACCGGTCGGTTTTATTAGGATTATCAGATCTCGCCTCGGTGTTTTACAACTCGGTTCCTCACGTCCCACAGCGAATAAACGTCGCTCTTTCCTCCCAGAATGGAGATACTATCTTCAGTTGTCACTCCGCAGTGCACTGGGTCCTTCGTTATCTGATCGTTTACCTAATATATCAAACCGGCCTAAGCAGCTCGATCCACTCCTCCCAAGTCCATAGGTCAATACCCTGCAAGTTTTGCTCCGAAGACCCCAGCCTGGAACTAGTATTTAACCCTTGCACGCCGTACCCACGGGAGTATATACCCTAAATGTCACTAGCTACCTATAGCTAATATAATTTTGTCTATACTTCATGACTTGTGCTGCAATAGCCGAGACACGCGAGCCATTACGACATAATGAATCCATGGGTATGAGAGGAAATACACAGAGGGTTATTCATTAAAGGCTAGGGAACGACACAAAGGAAAAGGTCACATAAGAAAAAAACAAAAGGAAAACAACAAATCCGCGCTCGCATACTCGAGCACGAGAAAACAGCAGAGTATCATTTACATCTTCACCGTCGACGTATCATAGGGCATGGCCTCGTCCGATATTCAATCGGCACATGGCGTCAATGGCGTATAGAGACAAGAGTTTAGTCGTGAGAACGAACATGGCGGACGCCCGAGAAAAACAGGAGGTATTAGTGGCTGAAATCGAAGCTTCACCGTCTCAAATACAGATAAACCAGCTGAAAAAAACATCCATTCCCAAGACAAACGTGACCGTCACTGTGTTCATTAATGCTTGGTAGCGACAACTAAACATACACAAGTTAGCGCACTCAAGCGTATTTTGCGTGCAGCAAATGCACGGGTTAGGACAACAGAAGGTAGGGCTTACCGGCAGGCACAATAATAACCACAAGCAAGAGGATGACACAAATCACCAAGCATACGCGCATCTTCATGTCTTTCCACCACATTTGCTTCCGCACGCGGTTCGCACCTCTGCGGAAACCCTGAGCCGACACGGCCAGGTTATCGGTCTTATCTTGTAGAGAGTCTAGACGTTCACCACGCTCGGAAACCTTGAAGATATTCGACCGCATCGTATCCACAGTCTCCTGGATTTTCTATTACAGCGGAAGTTTAAAGTTAGCATGAGTTTCTATGATGTTCCATTCCGGTAAAGTAAGTGTAACGCCGAATATCAGGGTTGTATGCTGTATGCAATAATTGTGAAGGCAACTCTAGAAGAGAGACTCGAGCATAGACAGCCATCCACAACTCGCACTACTAGAGAGAAGGATTCCCGCGACGGATGTGATAGGGACGGTTAATCAACATACCTTGTCGATTTCCCTTGTCCTGGGATCGCCATTCTGCGCAGCACTGGCCCCAGCGGGGGCGGTGGCAGTAGAGCCAGAAGGAATATAGGGGTCGTAAGGTTGTTCAGACATGGTTATTTGATGCGGTAAATGCGAGGCGTTCAGAACTGAGATCGGGGAACCCGGTGGATCACCAGATGCCTAGCGGAAGGCGGAGTCTTGCTGGATTCTCCTTTCACGGGGTTGCGAGAGACGAGGAAATATCAAGACCGTAGTATACGCGAACGGGCGTGCGATGAGAGCCTCGGGTGAACCGCTCGGGTTTTGGGCGTTGGGTGGATGATGGATGTAAGGAAAGGGTTGGAAACGTTACTGGCGTGAAGCTGACAGGGTGTGATGAATCGCCGCCCGCCTTTAGGAATTACGGTTGTTTCGGTTCTGTCGGGGAAACCGTCACGTGATTGTGGCCTTTCAATAGTGATTGGGAAAGAAACGCCCAGGCAGCTATTTTTATAGGAACACCAATGGCGGGACAAAGAAATGCGGATTCGAATAAAGAAAAGAATCCTGTCAAACAAGTTATTTTTTTTGGGAGTATCGTCACCCGTGTGCAGTCAAAAAGGCTGGTGACCACCTTAAAAATTAACAAATATTACTAGGAAGAGAAATTTCCATTAGGCACTATCAGGTCACTGACACAAATTGCCAAATCACCATGCCTAATACTACTATAAATATGTGTTGGCGTGGCTCAACCCTGCCAATGCCGTGGCAATGAGGCTGTGCCCTTCACCAAACTGCCACAGCCTCACGTGGTGATCCACCTATACATCATGCAGGTGTCAAAATATCGAATGGGGGAACTGTATACAATTAAATTCTAACGTTGATGAAGCTATGAACATAAATACAAATGAGCTATATACTGACATCACCCCTAGATCTGAACCAGTTGAATCTCAGTAGAGCAGATTCAAAGCTTCGCGCTCCTCTGCTTCTCAAACGCCTCAACAGCTTTCAGACTATCCCTTTGCGCCTGGTACTTCTTGTCCTCCAACTGCTCCCTCCATTCCAAATTGGCAGCATGACCATCCAGGATATCCAGTGAGTGGCGGTACATTTCCTCTTTCATGGTCCCATAGATACCGGTGGCCGCTTTCTTCTGTAGTCCACGCTCCCGAATAAGCGTCAAAACCTCTTCCAGGCCGCCCACACCATCTACAAGACCGGCGTTGACGGACTCAGGACCTCCGAACCGCTTAGCTTCGAGGATAAGGTTCCGGAAAGACGAGGGTGTCAATTTCTCCCGGAATATGCACATCATGGGTGATTGGAGGGGGACTCCAAATTCCAACTCGTTAATGCACAGAAGACCCTTGGCGGGGTTCTGGATCCGATAGTCATGATACATGGCCAGCATGAGGCCGCCGGCAAAAGCGTGTCCGTTCAAGAGGCAAATAGTAGGCATGGGATATCTGTTACAGTTAACATGGTATTCAGTCAAGAGAGAAACAGCGAGGCCTTTTAGAGCCGTTACTAACGTCAGGAATCGGCGGAACAGCTTCCACAACCACTTGTCCAAGAAGCCCTCCGTGCTGAGAGCAAGGTCGAGATCTAGTCCATTGCTATAAAACTTGGGAATGCCACTGGTGGTAATCACCACGCCTTTGGGGTATCTGTGCTCGATAATATCCAATGCAAGGATAAAGGCATCTATAAACGTCGGGGTGAGTCTGTTATCCTTCGGGGATGTGAAGGTGAGTAGGTAAATGTTCTTCTCCTTCTCCGAGGTTGTGGGGTTGGAGCAGACAAAGCTTCCGCCGGTAGACGAAATTGGAACAGTAAAAAGGGTCGTCATGGTCGCGGTATGTCACTGGATATGTACTTTAAACAGATTGGCTTTTGAAAGAGTTATGTACTACATCTAGAATATTTCTTGTTGAAAGTAAATCCCCCAAAGGAATAGCCGATGTTCTTCCAAAGCCTCGGAAGTATAGTAATCAACTGACAGCGGCAGTTATCACATGCTAGTAGGTTTTTTTGCATATTTTTTAGCTCTTCCATATAGTGTTTTTTCTACATCAAACTCCAACAATTGGGGTGATAGCTCAGTTGGGAGAGCGTTTGACTGAAGTCTACTTCGATCAGTAAAACCCATCGGGTTATCAGAAGGTCGCCGGTTCGATCCCGGTTCACCCCATTTTTTTTTCTATATGTATATATTGCCCTCCCCCTTAGGTTGGCATCAGGAGTTCGTCAGTAAACCCGGCTTATCCTATGGTTTTTTTTTTTTTCACACTTTGCAAACTTTCTTCACTCTATCCGATAGTTAAAACATTACTTTTTTTTTCTACCTACATATTAGGCTTTTGATGCCATTGGTTGGCAGTTCTTCATATCATTTTGAGTGGTGATACTACTAGTAGTACGTCCACTCGATCCACCCCTTCCACCCGTATCAGTCTCCCAGCAAAGGAATACAGACAACTTGAACCTCAATACCTATATACCTAGTAACAACAAGGCTCCTGCCGGAAGTCGTGGAATATAGCCCCGATTTGGAGACCCTACACCTGTTGGATAGTATGCCCTACGACTAGTAGTAAAGGGTCCATTGATCCGATCTGGGTATTGACGCCGAAAAACGCTAGTACTAACCTGGATATTAAGGCCTTTAGAGCCGAAAAGCCGAAGTAAATTTCGGAGATACCTGATATCAGATGCTCCATTTGGGCGATCTCTATGCCCGGCTACATTACATTGTCAGGAATGATAGTATCTTGCTGCCTGGTTATTTTATGAATAGTGTTTCAGGTATAGTTATTGCCACTCTGCTGCTATGGAGGCCGAGTTGGCAGCCAAAGCAATGCTGGAATCCTGGTCTATAGCCGTCAGTTGTGTTTCTCGGTTCATGTACTCCATAGGGCACGGGTTATGGGGTTCATAATAGGTTTATGCCCGTATCTTGCGGGACTCATCTGGATATTTCGTCATCATTGCTATGGCCAGCATACGTAAGACTCTATATACTTTAGGTGATATTGTCCGAGCCTGGATATACTGGTGAGAGCCTGTAAACTCCGAAGTATGAGGTTCTGGTGACATAAATACATGGCCTTCCCTGAGAGAAAAAAGACCATTGGCCTAATATCTTCAGAATCATCTTAAGATATCTACCAACCCCAATCAGTTATCAGCAGCAACATCCATAATGTCCAAGGAAGAAGTAGGTCCAATGCTTCATGCCTCCCCATAGTTCTATAATACTCATAGACGCCAGGTTATCGAAGCCAAGGCTAAGGCTCTCCATGAGCACATCTTCTCCAAGTCAGAGGATACCTACGCCAACAAGCCCTGGGACCTGGTAACAGCTATCAACGAGTTTGCGGACGAAAGCCGCATGATGACTTTCAAAAACGCCAAGATCGAAGCTTCCAGGCAGCAAATAGCAAAGATTCAACCAGCCCCAAAGACTTTTATTGAATTTGGTGGATATGTTGGTGCCTCAGCCATCGCCTGGGGTGCCATTTTGCGAGAGCTTAACGATGCAGATAGCGCAGCTGACGTCAATGTGTACACATTTGAGTTGAGCCTAGTCAACGCCGGTATTGCACGGGATCTCATTCGGTTGGCCGGCTTAGAGAACACTGTGCATGTTCTTGACGGACCAGCCGCAGACTCGCTAAGGAGATTATTCGAGGAGGGGGAGTTGAACAAGGGGGGCGTGGATGTAGCCTTTTTCGACCACTGGGAGCAGTTCTACCTGCCGGATCTGCAGCTTTGCGAGGATCTAGGCTTGTTCAGGAAGGGCTCCAAAGTCATTGCTGATAACACAGATTTCCCGGGTGCCCCTGCCTACCTTGAGTATGTGAAATCTGGTGGAAGACAAGGCGGGTCTTATCGTTATGAGTCTGAATCAATTGAGACTGCCTCGGGCCATGGTCCAGTGAGTTGCCCTGTCTAAGCCTGAATATCTGCGTAGTCACTGGTGCTGATTATTTTCTAGAGCATTGTTGAGGTTAGCAGTGTTGTTGATGCGCGGTGATTGGTTTGTCGCTTGTCTTTTGTTGGCTTATGTTCGATTCCCCTGTGATGTGTAGGTTTTGCTAGTTGAATATATGTACATTTTGTGCCTTTTGGGTTGGATGTGACACTCCTTTTATTATCCACATGTAGTTAATGGGCATACCCTATTGATGATGAGACATTGCGGCCAAGTCCATTGTCTCTATAGGCTGCTATGGGTATGCAGGTATTAGTACTATACACATCTTACACGGATGTGGACTCCGCCGTGTAGCAACTTGAAACCAGCAACTCAAGTGATCATAGAATGTAGCGTAGGGCTGATTTCCAGCATCTCAAGCAAGTGGCACATGGAACGTTCTCATTGTTGTGGTGGATACTGCCATCTCAGGCCTACGCCATGACGACCCACCGTTTCACTGGTTAGTTATACCTTGGTATTTTCATACCCACGGTGCGCCGATCTGTTGCTGCTCACTGCCTGGAGAGATAAAATTACCTCCGCAATGTGAAAGTGGCCGCCCGATATTCGGCGTGAGACCAGCCACGGGTTTACGAAGGACATAACTTTTCAGGAACAGAACAGAAGGACTTCATGATGGAGCAGTAGATAGCATACGTTGTATCGGTGCCTCGTTGAGGCAAAAAGAAAAAGAGTGCTCGCAAATACAAACAAAAAAAAAAGTAATGGGGTGAACCGGGATCGAACCGGCGACCTTCTGATAACCCGATGGGTTTTACTGATCGAAGTAGACTTCAGTCAAACGCTCTCCCAACTGAGCTATCACCCCAATTGATGGAGTATTTGCTAATACTTTAGCATTATGATGTAAAGAGTTATATCTAACTCATGAGACACATGGGTTATTGTATCGATGGCTACCAGATGTAGTATACAAAGATACGTAGCTTGTTACTAGGATGCCCTTACTAACTGGCTTGACTATATGTAAGCTAGCTAGCTATCGTTGGTTCAATCAGGTTATGCTCATGGAAGGGCCTACTTCACCGTCCTGGTAACCACTAACGATATATATTTTACCACTGCTACAAGTCTTTGAATGACGAGTTGAGATTGCCCAACGTTGGTTCAACTTTGCTCATAAGACAACCCATTCGCAACTGGGTAATAAGGAACCGGAAATGTACACTAGTCTTCCTACTTCATCCGATGCACAACCCTCGACATGTGAAGTACTCTTTACTTTCAAAGTGTGACCTCGTGCTGAAGGCCGAACACTGAATTACCCTATCTAGGGTATGCATATATCCAAAGTAGTAGTAATAAAAGACACCTGCAGAATAGTTCAATTGATGAGTTTGACTGCCGCTGCTTACATACGGCTTATATAAATCCTCGAGGCTGGAGACGATATCGGTCATTTCTGGACCAACTGCCCCAGGAGGCTTGAAAGCAGACTTCGTCAAAAATTATTATTTCTGTGGCTGGCAGAAGCAACGTATGCATGCAATGGCGATGCCGTTATCACTCAGAAATTTTGCCCAGAGTGGTGTAACACCAAGAGCTGTAAATGTGACCTTCCTCCATGTATGCCAGGATAGAAAATTGTCTGCCTTTCTTGGTCCAACCTTCACTGGAACTTTAAACTCACTTGAGATCAGCAGCCATTGCCCCACCCCTTCTTGTTACCTGCAAACAATGTCGCCTTGTTCAGCAATATAGTCGATCGGGGTAAGCCCCTCCAGGATCTCAATATCTTTATCACTGTCCCAATTAGACTTCGTCTCTGCAACCTTACCTCTAGTTGTGCACACGGCAGCAAGAACGGCTACAACTAGAAAACTCGAACTCAGTTTGGCCTAAGTTACCGACTCTGGATGAGTGTATCTTGCACTGTTTTCCCTTTGCTGACTTCATTTGCCTGTATATATCCTGGAAGATCCTGGGCAATCACAGCCACTATAGCCGCAGGAGGCGCCTGCTAAATTTTATCTTTGTGCATATCCGCGCAGCTACAGATTTCTTGTATAATATTATAGAGGAAGCTGCTCATCAGCCTCGCTGCTTCCATCTCAGCCTAAAGCACGTTGCCACCAAGGTAGAACCAAGTTTGGATGTTATGAAGAGAGAGGGCCTCCGAAGAAGGGAGCTTCACAATTTCACACAAGGACTCCCAAGTGTACTAATACCTGAAACAGGTTATTATAGGGACATCGTGCTGAACGCATCCTAAAATAGACAGAGAAATTTTGAATGGCTCAACGTCCAAGAACCGCACTACGAGAGTAACCGGGTCTCAGGAATGTTGACAGTATATGAGGATTTAAAGCTCATGCAGACTGTCTTGTAAAACTTTCCTCTACAGAGGCAAGAAATTCAAAAAGTTATGGGGTGAACCGGGATCGAACCGGCGACCTTCTGATAACTCAATGAGTTTTACTGATCGAAGTAGACTTCAGTCAAACGCTCTCCCAACTGAGCTATCACCCCAATTGTTGAAGTTTAACTTCAAAATAGTGCTCTATAAACCAACTTTGATAGCCCTGCGTAACAGACTGAGGCAGTTCCACCTCCGCATCCTATCCGCCCATACATTTCGGAGTGATCAGATAAACCATAATGATGCCATGAACACTTCAAAATCCTAATATCATCACCACCAATTCCCCGAGACCCCGGGCTTACCCAGGCGATGTCGCACAAATAATAGCAATCTATCAACGAACTAAGATATATCTGTCTACTGAATCTCCACCCACCATGTCCGTCAAGCTCCCTCGACTAACGCAACACGAACGGGAAATCTGACAACTGATCCAGGGCCGTCTTCTCACTCATCATCATCAATAAAGCCGGTGGTCTAGTCTACCAGCGCGAATTCCAGCCCGGCCTGCGCAAGCTTTCTACAAATGATTATCTCGTCTTAGCTGGTACATTTCACGGGTATGTGTGTTGGATTGAATCCCGTCCCGCTGAAGGAGATCATACCTGATCAAACAATTATGTACAACTGGACCGCTGACGATGTGCTGTGGGTAGTGTTCATGCCATTACTCGCACGATAACTCCCAAGCTTCCCCTCTCGACGGCCTCCACGACAGCAACTACCTCGACTTCCTCCAATATCCCCTCAACCCCTGGCACACCTACTCCGCCTACTCCGGCATCAGCGTTCACATTCCCCAACCCGGGGATCCCAGCGACGGGCCTTGAAAGTCTTGAAACGGATAAGTTCCGATTGACATGTTTCCAGACGTTGACGGGGACAAAGTTCCTTCTATTCACGGATCCGATGATGGGGAACATCGATGTTGTTATGAAGAAGGTATACGAGCTATATGCGGATTATGTGATGAAGAACCCGTTCTATCAACTCGAAATGCCGGTCAGGTGTGAGGCGTTTGATCGACATCTGGCGGGGTGGTTGAGGGGGAGGACCTGAGCATTCCTTGGATTTCTTCTCTTGATCGTGTTGCGAGGCAATAGACTGCTGGAAGGTCGATTTGTGGTGACGTTAATGACGCATTTTGATGACGATTGTCCTTGTTGTAATTACATATTTTCTTTTTCGTCCTTGTTGGTCATGAAACATACGATAGACTTCAATCACATCCTTCCAAAAGCGTATCAACTAGGATCGCTTTCTAGAATACAGGAAAATACGAAAGCACATTGATAAAACGCCGGGTATGCATCAAATTCGTCCTCAAGAAACTATTCAAGTTTCCTTCTCTACGCGGTGTCCATCTTGTCACCGTCCTCCTTCTTATCTTTGCTCCCGCTCGATTCACCCGATTGTCCTTCCTCCGGAATGTTATCCAGGTTGGCTTTCTGTTCTTGCTCCTCTCGCTCCCGCTTTTCCTTTTCTTGTCGATTCTTCTCTTCCTCCAGGGATAAGCGTAGGGCGAACGCCAATTCGGGATCATTCTCAGCCGCATCTTCGAATCCAAAATCACCGGTTTCACCACCTGCACCTGCGTCGCCTGCTCCAGCACCATCGCCGCCCAGAATGGGCGTCATTTGAAGCTCCTCACTCAACAGGTTCGGACCAGGAGGGATGATGGCCAGGTGTGAGCCGTCGCCACCCTTGACGTTCTCGACGAACGCCTCCAGCTTCTTAGTTTGATCGGACTCGAGGTCTCCGAAGGCGATGACATCGATAGATACATTGACTTTCTTCATCTTCTTAGCCAGCTTAACCAATGACTTCTCATCTTCTTCGATAGGAGAGCACGAGAACACGATAATGCGTTGGTGTTGGGACTTCTCGGAACGATGTTTCAAAGCGAGCTGTAGCAAAGCGTATGGTTAGTGTCCTTGTCGCCAAAAAACGCTGAAGTCAAAAATCATAGAGTAAAGACATACACCGGCCACTTGTATACTGGAGCTCAGGTGGGTAGTGCCATGGATCTTAGTGCGGTGCAGACCGGCCAGGATAGCGCCAAAGTCGGAGGTGAACGTCGACAGAACCTCAGGACCCTTTCCACCCATGCTCATAAGTCCGACGGCTGACTGGGGATGTACGCGCATCTTGGCGGTGTGAATGACGCTGACGGCGTCGATCTGTGCTTGCCATCTTGTCGAGCTGGAAGCTGTTAGTAACGAAACAACGGGTTGACCGGAGAGCGGCCCTTACGTATAGTCCCCATTCCTACTGCTTTCGCTATTATCCACGCTGCAGATGAGTTAGTTGGGCTGTACGGAGCTAGAGCGTTGAACGGGAGATGACGAACATGATCATGGTTGCTTCGAGCGACATCTTGGCGGCGGTCTATCGGAATTAGATAGATTTATAATCGAAAGGAATGAAAGAGAGAGAATAAGATAGAATTAATGAAGCTCTCCTCGATCTTGAAGAGGTCTGCAGGGGGTAGAGGATGGGGGGGGGGGAGACAAGACGATGATGATGGCGGTGATGGGGGGAGGAGAGTTGGAGCTGTGCTTGAGAACGAGAGATCAATGTCACACTGCCCGCCCCATCGGGACTAACCACAAATTAAGTCAGCGGTTGTTTATCCCCCATAAAACAAGCGCATACTTGCTTTCCTTCCACTCCCACCTCAAAACGCACGCCACCTCTTCGCACTCTGACCACTCCACCCAACCCCAAAAATACTGCATTTATCCAGCATAATTAGCGACTTCCTCTTCCAGAATCTCGAACCTTCAGAATTGAACCAGCTACTCCACTATAATGGCTTCCCTTACGTCCAAACGGAAGTCTCGCGACGACGACGCGTACCCCGTCGATGAAGCTAGAACGCCTACCGGCAGTCCTCCTAAGAAGAGGCTCCGGCTAACCCGGAACCAAAAACAGGCACTTATGGATAATCTACAGCTGGAGAGTACGTTTCTAATGTGTACTATTCCCTGATTGCCGATATTGACCATATCATAGTCACCGAGCGGGCTCGTAAACTTCGCGCGCAATATGCGCTCCAAGCAAATGATCTCCGGGCTCGGATTGAAAGACGCACTAATCGGATCCCCGTCGCCCTCAGGAAGGTGAACATGGGTGAGTTGTTGGAAAAGCACAATACCGCCCTCCGGGCGCAGCAAGAGAATACCTCCCCGAGGAAGCTCATTAGCCCGATTAAAGGGTCACGCTTTGCAGCTGTCTCGGTCAATCCTGCAATGCGGAAGGCTTCTGCTGCAAGCCCAAGCCCGCGCAGGACGAAGAGACAGAGGTACGCAAACATCGCGATACTCCGGATGAGCTCTCTACTAACCTGATAATCTAGTCACGAAGGCCTCTACTCCGATAAGGAGAATGCCCCTGCGGCAGGAGAACAGCTTGATGTACTCAAGAACCCGAAGAGACGTGGTAAGCCGGGCGCTGCTGCCGGTACTTCGCGGGTTGTCTCCCAAGAAGTCAGAGGAGCAGACTTCAGAATTCTCTCTCCAAAATCATCAAACTCTAGGACATATCCACAATCACCGCTTCGCGCGTCCCCCGAAAAACCCCAGAATTCATCTTACCTCTCGCGGCCGATGCCATCACTAAAACCTTCAAGTCCGCTTAAGGCGGCGCCAGCTAGCCTGGCCGGATCCCTGGAAAGCGCGCGCCTTCGTACCACAAAAGGCACACCGTCTACAGCAACGGCAAGCAGACCCGCTTCGCAAGCATCCAGGAGACCAGCAAGTCGGGCCACTACGGCATCTAAGACGGCGACACGGTCGCCCTTGTCACGACCCGCCACCCGTCAGCTTGAGCGCAGAGGCAGTGTCTCGTCCTCCACGTCATCTGGTACAACCGTCACCAAGCCGACGCGAACAGGTGCAAACGCAAGGAAAGTGACAGCCGCATCAACCGCTAGCTCTACAGCTAAGAAGGCCGTCGCAAATAGCCAAGCAACTTCCGCAACTGCCAAACGTAGTGTCGCGTCAGCTACCAGGAAAACCGCTGCTCCCGCAGGAGGTGAAGCTCCGACAACGGGACGAAGGGTCCTGCGCAAACGCGCTTAAATGCTCTATATTTCCCCTTTCAGGAGGGGACCTATCATCTATAGTCTTTTGACATTCTCTGGAATCTTCCATGAGAGTTCATTACGGAAACGGGCATGAACTTTGATGCTTTGGAGTTGGAGCGGGTCTATTGGCGTTTTCTATCTTGCCTTGCATAATTGGGTTTAGAGAGTTGGTTGGCTTTGTAGTGGGTTCTTGTTGCTGCTTTATCTGCACGGTTAAAATAGGTTGAACTCGTATTGACGAGTTCTTTTGATTAAGGGTTATTATCATTGGAGTTTGGTATTGTCGTCCTCCGGCTAGTCGGATGTGATTTAGTGAATTGAGCTTTGTTAGCACGTATCCCGTGCTGGTCATGATTGAATTGTTTTGCAGCCGCAGGAATGTGTACTTTGATCTTTCGAAACGAAGCCCTACACAAGGACCGCTAATCGAATGTATGCATATTCAGGATTAAGAATGAAGGTGGAAATAGAAGAATTCCCGTCATTTCACAGCTGTATGTAATCTAAACACCTCACGGAATTATGGATGTAATTGGACCAAACACAGACAATTCGGGATATCAGCGCAAGTAGGCCGAATAAGTGAACACATCAAAAGTAGAAAAGAAAACTCAGCACAGGTATCTCTGCAGCCATTCTGAATTGGCTGGAAAACGAAACAAACCAAACATTATTCTCATAACACTGTGGATGAGAAAAGAAACGAAACACCAGAGTAGAACGGATCAGAATGGAAAGAAAACAGTCAAAGGGTCGGGCACATTTTCACGCTAGGTTTCAGTTGGAATGCAATGAGATCAGGGACGCTCCGGTACCAAAATGTGTGTAGTAAGCAATGACAGACAAGACACTCTGGACAACCAATAGGTTCCCCAGGTACAACAAGATGCAAAAAGGCAAGAGTCAGGCCCACCATTATAATAATGATGATATTGCACTTTTAGGCAGTGAATAGGCAAGAAAGGGTAGAGGTAAGGGCATCTAGCAGAAGTGATAACCAGCAAGCGTGGGGCTGTTTGGCTTAGGTCTTGAGAATTATTGCGATGTGAGACAAGAAGGATATAAGTAAAAGAAAAAGAACCCAACCCTGTCAAAAATTAAAGAACGCTGAACTGCCCAATGATACACCAACAGTACTCAGAGCACCAAGTAGGGAAAACGATAATTGATCGATACACGTCCTTGCAAATGATAGTAGCATAATTATCAACTGGCAACTCCCATCGGCCCTGCCCCCGGGCGAGCTCTATAGGGCAGCTGTTGAGGTTGGGTATCTGGTTGTACCGGATTCTGTTGACTGCCATTGCTGATGCTGCGCTCACGGTTATCGCTTGTCGCTGCCGGTACCAACTCTGCATGTGGGATACCACTAGCTGAATGGACATGACTGGGAGTACCCTGTACGTGACGTACAGAGCCTTGCATCTGTGTCGCTGCATCTTGGGATGGATCCGTCTCGATACGTGCAGACGTCGGGATGTTTGCTCCCCGATTTTGATTCGTAATAGTAAATGTTTCGCCGCCATTGACTGGCCTCTGGGAGAAGCTCCCGCGTGCGATATCTCCGTAGCGTTTCAGGATCTCCTTTGTGGTGACTTCGGAATTTTCTTTGAAAAAGTTGGTGTCCGTGAGAACCGACTGCAGATCCTCAGGAATCTGGATCATTCAAAATTAGTATTTGTAACGCACCGAGAACGTGCTGTAGACAACTTACCTCGCACATAGTATCATTGTATGTGATAAGCGCATTGATAGCCTCAATTGCTAGGAAGCTCTCATCAACGGTGCCGTTCTTAGCATTCGGGTACAGAATGTTGGGGGCCATCACAGTGGCAAGATTGTGGATGTCCATTTTACTGCCTGACTCCTCATCAACGTGCGAGAAAGATGACGTCCAATTCAAGAAGGCAAACAGGACTTCCATGGTATCTCGGTGAGCTTTGGGAAGCAGGCAACAGGCAAGGTGAAGAACCCGCTTTTGCTTCTCTGGATCCGATAGTTCTGTAATATATGTAAGAATATTATTCATTGTGCGGTGAGAATTGCAAGGGGGAAAACTCACTTTGTGACACTACAAATAGGCGATGCAGCTTGAAGGTCAAGAGCGGGTCAGGCATCTCGCGGAGGAATTTCTTCAAGAGAGCTGCGATTTGCACAGGGTTTTCCTTTGTCAAATCCATCTGCTCGTACTTGTTGTCGATCAGGTCAGACAGATCTTTGAGCCTTCTGATGTTGCCATTTTTTCGGAAAACACCCTCCACAGACATATCCATTTGTCTCATGGCGGACACAGCATCGTCAACTAGAGCAGGAACGCGAAGCGCACCTGGCCCGACACCATGACTAGACTCCGTACCCTCCTTTTCAACAAGAAAATCTAGGTTCACACCGAAAACACCTTTCTTCTTCCCACCTTTCTTGGCTTCCTTATTGAAGGCACGACCGAAGATATTCCAGATTGTTGGCTTACGGGACTCAATAAATGAAAGGAGCTCCTCCAATGTGAAATACCCGTCCAACAAAGGCTCCATAGACAGTACCGCAACGTGGCGCACGATGAAATACTCCAACGCGGATAGTTCTGAGAAGTACTTCTTGGCCCTTCCACCTTGTTCCATAAGATGCCGCTCCAAACCAGCACCGGACACACCGCGTTGATGGCCATAGTTGTATCTCGGAAGAGGTTCGGTGGTCCCGACAAGCCTGGTTCCTGCATGCTTGTATGCGTTGGGGCGTTGCTCTTTAGCCTGCTCGGCAGCAACGATCCTTGGAATGTCATCCAAAGTGAGAGCGTCCTGGTTGCCAAATGTCAGCTCAGTAACCGTCTCGCCGTTTGCGTCTTTTTCTTCTACAATTTGGAAACCGTGACCACGAGGATCTGTGCCTTCACCGCCGGATGAACCTGGCCTTACGCTTCGTCCTTCTGGCCCATCGATGATTCGTGACGCCCGTGCTTTTTTATAAGTCGTTGACAGAGTGCGCTCGTTTCGGATCGACCTTAGACGTCGCATTTCGCCAACAGTTTGTTCAAGGGAAGATTCTTCGGTACCCTCTTTGCTCGCATGTGAGTATGACTTGGATCTAGTCGTTGACCTACGCAATTCACCTCCAGGAGTAGATTGGCCGTCACTCCCATCATGCGACTTTAGATTGACGTCATCTGAAATTAATTAGTAAACTGAGTTGTGAAGAGAAATTTCCGATTAGCAACATACCTGATGCCGGAATAGTACCCCCAGCTCGCAGGACAGTAAGGAGCCGTGCAAGAGCAACCTGCAGCAAGAAGACAAACTGTTGGAGTTTGGTCACTCGTGTGAACCCTCCTTGTGTTTCATGCGCGAAGCCGTTTTCAGATGCGCAACTGTTACAGAAAGCGCGCTTATCCTTAGGGTTCCACAAAGCATCCTGAGGTATAGCAGTTAAATCTTTCTGGCAAGTTGTACAAGTCAAGTGAGGTTGCTTTATATGCCACCTGTTATCTCCAAGCTTGATGCACTCGTCATCTATGGGTTCTTTGCATGCAGCACAGCAGTCGGAGAGTTGATCAGCAAGGACTTCGACATTAGCCATTAAGTCTGCTGTAGTCACTTCTTCTTCAAGAGGCCGAAGTGCCTCAAGATCCCCAAGATGATCTAAGAACTGATGCAGACCTTCTGGCGTTTCCTTCTCCCTCTCTAGCTTAAGAGCACCCTGCAAACCAATACGGATGAGGAGCTTCAAATAATGGGCAAGACCTGTCACTAAAGATAGAAGCTCCTGAGTGACGCCGAGTTTTCGAACGCCGGTTTCCTGAGTTTTTGATAACAATGCGAAGAAAGCGACGATCTTCTTGCACAGAAGTTTTGCTTCACGACCATAGGCGAGGTCTACATAACGAGATTAGTTCCACAATATCATGGATTGACACTCACGGTAATATACGACTCACCTTTCATGCCTTGAGCCTTTATGTTTGCTGCAAGTTGGTCAATTGCGGAGAAAAGAACATCGACATGTGCAATGAACTTTTTCGCAACAAGAACTCCGTCCACATAAGTACCATTACTGACGTGAAGAAGCATATCTGAGATGCAGGCTGCCGACGATTCCTCGAAACTTGAGAGGATGCTCCATATTTTGTACACCTTTTCTTCCATCACATCCTCTTCCTCCCGCACTCGGTTGCGTTGCTCGTCAGTAGCATCGGCTTCTACCTCAGGATATTCCAATGGCTGACCAGTTGGAGCCAAACGAACATTCCAAAACTTGTGAATCATATAACATTCGGGGTGCCAGTGCTGATTTTGGCCATTACGGAAAATCTCCACGAATTGTTTGAGGATTGATGTGTGGCAACCGTGACACCGCTGTGCGAACTGAGTCGAGTAATGGAAGTGACAGTATACCTTGCCTTCATGCTCATAGTAAGAGTCTTGTGCGCCAAAGACCGTCGGACAAACAGAGCATGTAAAATGCTCAATGTGGTATTTTCGATCCAAGGCCGTTATATACGAGCCTCGCAGGGCACCACCGCATTCATGACAGAGGAGGTCCAATCGCCGAAAATAGTCTGTTTCACATAGAGGGTACTGCCCACTCCCATCTTCCGCATCAACCGGAAAGAACTTGGAAGCCACGATTTGGCCACAATCCTATGCCGTGATAGGTTAGCTACGAAAACAGAATACATGCAGGAGTAGCGGCGGGAACTCACTTCACATTTGAAGCACTCCAAATGGTAGGTCGAAAGCAATGCCCGCACAAACTGACCTGTGAGGGGTTCGCCGCACTTTTTACAAATTCTTGACGACCCACCTGGCGACTTCGTAACTGGTCGACCGCTAGGGCGTGTTCGATCACGCGGAGTTGATCGGTCCCAATAGCCAGCTGCATCGCGCGGAGTTGAGGGGTCCCTTGGGCTGGAATTGCTTGACTCGTATCTTCGACCCATACGGCCATCGGGGTTTTGAGCTCCATCCACAGGACTGTTTCCGGATGCATTCCAACCCCCAGCTATTGCACGCGGCGAGTCGAATGGAATACTGTTATCCGCCGGTGATGTAGGGGTTTGCATCTGGTTACCTCCACCATAGCCACTGGTATTCAACGTGGGGCGGACAGCCCCGTTGCCCGGCACGAGGCTATCCGGCAAAGGAACGTCGCCGGGAGGCATATCCGTATGAAACTACGCCGTCCCGCAGTTGTTTGCAACGAATCTGCAAGTAATTTAGGATATTGGGAGTCTCAATGCGTAAAAGGGTCGCGTTTGTGGTTGCCGCCGAGATCAGAGCGAATTGATTTATTAGGCAGGGTACCGGAGCGGGAATAAACACAGTTCTTCGGGAGATTGCAGAAATGAGTAGTTAAGAACAAGTCATGAAGTGATTATCGCATCTATGACAGGAGTAATAGCACAAGTCAGACAACGGTGTGATTTCTTCGCAGGGCTCCTTAAAGGTATTTGGGGGGCCTTCCGTAACGACTCACCTCACGCCATGTAGATGAAACTTGCGGGGAACTTCTAGTGGTGACTCGAGGAATCGGAAGGGGAGCGCGTGATCGACCTGATAAATATATCCTTCCACAATACCACCGGCCTATGCAGCGGCGTATTTAAAATCGAGACGTTTAGAAGCGCAGGCGCCCGTGTCGAGGGCAGCGGGATTGAAAACGTTGAAGCTCAAAGTGAGACCAACAAGCGGCGGAGTAGTAGACTGGCCGGGATCACAACCATTCCTGGTTCCCTGCAAACACCAACAGAGGGTCGGTAGTCCAAGTCCTGGAAACTCAGAACACGGAGGGGGGCGGAAGATAGTGAACCACAGAGTCCAGTACTGCAAAACAAGAGAGTGATAAGGAGAGAGGGATATAGGAGATTAGGAGATCGCGTGTTTGGCAAAGTGGGTGTCTGTCCTGCTGGCAGTTGGCGCTGTGCCCCCCCTATGCTTCATGTTGCTGGTTACCCGCTAGGGTCTGTCACGTGAAATACACTCACCGCCTGGACTACCGCCTGTAGTTTGTGTATCAATTACTGTACAAAGTATCTATGACAGAAAGGGCGCCTGATTACTACGTAGTAATACAAAAGGAGATACTGGATGAGAGTACTAGTAAGTAGATAGAACCACCTAAATAAGCATGAAAAGATGTGACAGTAGAGATAAAAAGAAGAAGGAAAAAGGGAAGAAACGCAGAGTAAAAGTGAAAGTAACCTTATATTTGTACGGAGTAGATATTGTATTATTTTGATTACTGGTGCGGTGGATGGACAGGTAATTTTAGCTCCAAAAAAAAAAGGAAAAGGGAAAGGAAAATAGAAAAACTCTTCATCAGAACATTGTATGAGTAAGGGCATAAAGGAAACAAGGTCACTGATACACTAGCCCTTCTTTTGACCCCTTACTATTTAGGTCTTTTGCGGGGCAACAAGCGGGTTACCTGTTTTGGTATTTCTGAAACTAGTCACAACCCCATACATTGACGGTCTACGGAGTAAGTATGTTGCCAAGTGGAGTTGCTGTCAGCTTGGGACCCTTGACATTGTCTATGCAACTAAAACCACCTTCCAAGTTGGTATGAGAACAATTGTTCAAGATCATATATACTGTGTGTTCAATTGTGATTCATTTCAAGCTGTATAGTTTCTTTAGAACTAGGATAGTATTATATGGTTTTTTCTTCCCTTATTTATTTTGTTTTGTTTTGTTTTAGTTTTGCTTTTTAGGGAGCATTCTTCAAAAGATGTCATACTCTGTATGAAGAGCAAGGGTGACTGTTTTGTCAAGCTAGTCTTGTTTAGGAATGTTGGAATGAATGCCCCTAAAGCCTCAGGGGTCCAAATAGTGACCAAGTCTTTAAATAGAAAATAGGTTGTGCCCTAGATTCTTAAGACAGATATGATAAGAGTTGTAGAGAGCTACGCAGGAAGCTACCTACTCCGTAATGTCTACACCAGAAGAATAGGGTATTTAACGGAGTCAGCGGCGTCGCCTAGCAAATGCTCCGTCAACATGTGGTTAAGGGGAAATATGCCGCGTCTATCAGGGGATTTCGGTTGTTTGGCCCATCAACAATTGATCTACCCACACAAAGAAGGCGGTGAGGATGGATTTGTGCGGAGCTTAGATACAGTACGGAGTACAGTCCTTCATAGTGTGAAACTGAATTACCGGGAACTCTATATGCCTGTATGTATGTACATACATACTATGTCAACATCCTAAGGAGTACTGACTCTTGTCCGTAAAAGAAAAAGTACTATGTGCCTTTACCTAGTTTTTTTCTTTTTTTGCTTTTTTTTGTTTATGAAAAGGAATATTAGTATTACAATACAGCCAGTAATACTTGAAAAAATATAGACTGCTGTTGACCGTTTTGCTGACAGGCTTTTGCAGTAACTTTGTTGAACACTTACTTACACTGTGTGCAGACTATAGTTATCATTTTCTTGTAGATAATTAGCGACAAAGAAACGGTATTCTAACGCAACCTCAAAAGACTCATATAGGAGGGTAGTAATCTTAAATAACAGAGATGCTTACTATGCTAGTCTCTATACTATCACACTACATCACTGTGAATGGTATACTTAGAGCTTGTTTGTATCTGCCATCAGTTGCTAGCTTCATATAAACTCCTTGAGAGACAATGGATGCTGGACAAACAACCAAAATATCGTAGCAAGCCTGGAAAAAGTAAATAATGAACTTCTATTCTCTATTCACGCACCCGATAGCTGTTCACACAATCTCCCGTCCACACTGAGAAGGTAGCCACCTGTCGTTCCCCGCGCTGCCTTGGGCTGGACCATCAATGATCATTATAATATCATACGTACGCCTGTCTTCGTCATCTGCTTACAACTTAGGCGCTCTGCCCATTTTCGTATCTATTCATCAACCCCACTGATGAGAGCTCGACCGTCTACTGGTTCTATGACAGAATGTCCGATCAAGCGATCCTCCGTATTACAAGGGTACATTGGCTCTTTTATTATATCCACATATGTCCTGTAAAAGTCCTCTTCAACTGACGAGAATCCTCTTCCGGCGGAATACTAGGAAATCAAGCAGATACAACAAGGCGCAGACTTGTGTAAGACTTCATTCATACAGTCCTGGAAAGAACTCCATTGTTACATTAAGCTTACAATTATTTGTTCGGCTCGGATTCGAAGCTCTGGCTGTGACTCACGATGATTCTGACATCCGAACTGTCCACGCCCTCATTCTCGGACCGCCAGAGACCCCTTACCAGTTCGGTTTCTTCGAGGTTCGTATTCGCTGCCCTCAACATAATAATACAGCAAAACTGCAGGCCGATTTCCACTGACTGGTGAGAAACTGCCCTAGTTTGTGATCAAATTTGGCAGGGGTAAGGAATCCGTCCCGTGAGAGGAACACAAGAACATATGCTTAAAGTACTCACCACGGCTGCTCCAGACTATCCCGCAAAGCCCCCTTGTGTCCGAGCTTTGACTACAAATAAAGGACGGTGCCGGTTCAACCCTAATATCTATGCTTCGGGCAAAGTCTGCTTGTGAGTACAAAATCTGAAAGGCCAAGCATGCTCATATACTGACGAAATTCAGGTCAATCCTGGGGTAATTCGTTTCAAAAGCCTACAGAGTAGCTATAGCTGACTGGTTTGGTGTAGCACTTGGCGCGGGGAACCTGGAGAGGAGTGGTCCTCTGCACAAGGCCTGGAGTCTATCTTGATCTCCATTCAAAGTCTACTATCTAACAACCCTTATGAGAATGAACCTGGGTACGATAAGGCACATACAGCAGAGGATAAGGAGTGGAAGGTATCTTACGTAGAGAAGGTGATGACTTACCCCTGGATCTGCCCGAGGACATGCTAACGGAACTTCCTTTGCATGCCAAGATTCGCCATGAGAACCTCAGAATTGCAGTCATTGAGCCTTTGGAGTTGTCTTTGGGTATCCTGCCATATGGAAGTACAAGCACAATTGCAGAACCAGCATCTAAGGGCGATGAAGCTGACGAAGAAGATCAAATACTGAGCGAAAATGACAAACCTGTTGTTGATCGATTCGCAGACCTTCGCAAAAGACGATTCTTATGGTATTTCGATTCCTACATCCAAACGATTGATGCTGCAGACTCAGATATCTCTCGAAAATGCAAATTCCAGACAATGCCTTTCGAAAGCCCGGGCAATACTATGGATGGCCACTTCGATTACCCTGAACTAAGACGGCGGGTAGTTTTGCTCAGGGAGAAAATCATTTGTGAGACACACAATTGGTTACTTGAGGGAATTGGTGTCAAGGAACAGGAGCTGAGCATCGCATCAAATCTGCAGCGCCAGTATGAACAGATCGTTGAGGATCTCAAGCGTCAGAAAAATTTCGCTGTTGATCTTGAGCTTGCCGACACGAATCCTTTCCTTTGGGCATTTACGTACTTCGGTAGGCCTATGAGCCACTTGGACGGTGGTATCTTCCGGTTTAAGATCTACATCAGCCCACGTTTCCCAGAAGAACAGCCTCGCGTCTTTGTGGAGACGCCCATATTTCATATTCGCGTATCCCGAGAAGGAGTCCTATGCTATTTCCCACGTAGAACAGATGAAATGCGTCATCATATCGAAGCGATTGTGGCGGCACTTGAAGAAGAATCCCCGCCATATGATCCACGGACTACAGTTCATTCTGAAGCGACCAAGCTTTTCTGGGGAAGCCCTGAAGATCGCAAGAGATATAACAGGGCATTACGGCGATCTGTTGAAAAAAGCGCCGAGTGAGTTTCTACCTACCGCTAAAACCATAACGTTCTCAAGTCCTGATATCATACTGTAGGGAAACGTAGGCATGAGAACTCCCCCTTTATTGTCGACGCTTATCCACTCTTCACCTGAGCATTGAATACTTCATAAGCCCCGGCGATGGTCCCGGTTAATTTCAGATGATTTAATATTTTAACAGATTATTGTCGGTCTGCGCCTCTCATTCTGTTTCTTGATTGCACATCCAGGCACATGACTGTAAGATTTCGCATACAACGGAGCGTATATCACTCGGTGCTAAGCGCAATGGCATTTAACAGGGTTAACTTTCCTGGTTGGGATCAGTTTCTAGACTAAAAATCAAGATAATGCTGTGTTATGGATTGATGCCACCAATGCAGACATCAAGTAGGCGGTTCAAGTAATAAGTAAGAGACAACTGCTTTGTAGATGTCATTATCGATGAAATGAGTCAAGATGGGTTTAGGAGCATGGAAATATAGTAGAATTCTTGTTGTTGCCCTTTTGCGATGCTGGTAACAAAAAGAGAGTTCTCTGGTTGAAGGCGATGTGGCTTCTCGAGTGGTGGGGGGGCCCGGACATTTTAGCTCAGCCCCAGATATTTTCTCCGTAGAGCGGAGCGGAACCCAGTTAAATTATCATCCCCCCGAACTTAAGATCAACACTTCCGTCTTCGCCCTTCAGTCTCTATCGCTCATCTCCACCCATCTACCGTCTCCAGCCGCTTAAGTCAACCAGCAACGCACCAAAATGTCTAACAAGCGTCCCACTATGCAATTAGGCACTGTTTTGGTGGTTGGTGGCTGTGGATTCGTGGGCTGGCACATTGTCAATCACTTGCTCAATTTCCCTTCGGAAACCGATGCCAGTGTCGCTCTACCCAGGCCAGAAGATGATCCTCGATTCGATTACCCCCAGCTGGCCGGCCGGTATCCGGCATGCATTGCGAAGGTCGCGGTAGTCGACTTGCGAACCTCCAACAATCGGTTGCCTGGTGCCGAGTATTACGATGGCGATATCACGTCGGCAGAGTCCATGTTAGAGGTCTTTCGCAAAGTTAAGCCGGATGTTGTTATCCACACTGCCACACCAAACGTCCTAGAAGGGAACAAGCCGTTGCTGCGCAAAGTGAATGTGGACGGAACAAAGACATTACTGGAGGTCGCGGGCGGCGCCCGCGGAGATTGGGGTGGAAAGTGCAAAGCTTTCGTGTACACAAGCTCGAGCTCAGTGGTACACGATACCCAAAGCGATTTGATCAATGTCGATGAGGAGTGGCCATACATTAGAGGGGATAGGCAGTTGGAGTACTACTCGGAAACCAAGGTAGGTGATGTCGACTCCGTTTCTGTCTAATCTAGTCAACATTTGCTGACGAGAATTGGCAGGCGGACGCAGAAGAACTCGTTTTGAAGTACAACCGAACCTCACCCTCTGGTATGGTGACCTGTGCTGTTCGTCCAGCCGGTATTTATGGAGAGAAGGACACCACATTTACCTACAAGATTCTGGAGCACTCAGCCAAGGCCTCACCGGCTGTTCTTCGAATGCAGTTGGGCGATAACAATAATTTGTTCGATTTTACTTACGTTGGAAATATTGCGCATGCCCACTTACTCGCTGCGTTCCGCTTGCTTGCTACCAAGACCCGTATTGAATCCAAACAAAGTGAACCGTTAGACCATGAGCGGGTTGATGGAGAGGCTTTCAACATTACTAATGATTCCCCGGTCTATTTCTGGGATATGACGCGTGCTGCATGGGCTCTGACTGGCAAGGTAGTCGAGCCCCATCAAGTGTGGGAACTCCCTGAGGCACTCCTCGGCCCTATTGGCGGCATCGCGGAGACAGTGCTGGGTATTTGTGGCAAGACCCCGCGGTTGACTAGGCGGGTAGTCCGGTATTCATGCATGACTCGTTACTATTCGTGTGACAAGGCCAAGTCGCGCCTAGGATACACTCCCATCGTTCCAGTTGAGGAGGGTCTGGCTCGTGCAGTCGGATATGTGGTAGAACGGGAGCGACAGGAGGGTCAGAAGAAGGGACAGTAATGGAGAGATCGTGCAATCGAAGATGTGTGGAGGATACACACAGTGACATGATGTAATATAGGTAATTTTTGGAACTATCATCTGGTTTTCTTCTATCAAGCATATACCTTAATGAACATGGATATAGGTAGCCCTTTGAATAAATATACTCTATATTCGAATTTTGCGCAGATTAGCCGTAACAATGGCAGTGAAACGAGGGTACACCAGGGTTTGTGGATATACTAAGCTTGCTTCGTATTCCAAGATCTTTAATAATTTTAATTGTGATCACCTCTACCAAGTTTTACAGCGGACTATGCTGAAAGCAACTATAGGAACAGAAAGAGGTATATAGCGTACATATTTACCACATGGATTGGTTGTATGTGACGCTCGAGAGCTGTGAAAATGACGTTGTGTCTGCTCTTTTTGTGGACGACACCCAACGCTTGTTTATCAAAGGCTAATGCGCTGTTTTATTTCCTTCAACGATCCCAGAGTTTCATGCATGTCATTAACTGACAACATGCACCCTGACTAAATCGCACCTGACCATGATATTTAAAATCAGCCGTGGCTCGTCGCTCTTTCCCTTTCCGCCCTCATCTCCTCTGCTCCTATAAAAACATGCACAAGAAACACATATTTACTAGACAGCAGGAGTATTGACTGTTCTATACATATTGAGAGCAATACCATGGAATATCCTGCAGTGTTCAACCTAAATCCTCCCTACATGTTTCGTCGAATGCTTCTTTTTCTGTTCTGGCTAATTGGCCTGTTAGGGTCGATTGCAGATGAACAGTTGTCTGGCAGCAAGGAAGGCATTCCTAGAATCGACGCTTCCTTCGACTATGTTGTGGTGGGTGGTGGTAATGCTGGTGTGACCCTGGCAGTGCGCCTGGCTGAACAGAGCTTCAGTGTTGCTTTGGTTGAAGCTGGAGACTTCTACGAAATCAAATGGCCCCCAGCGAAAGTTCCTGGTGCTGTCGGCATTGGCACTGGAAGCGATCCAATGGCCATTCGGACACCCATTGACTGGGGTTTCCTGGTCAATACTGGACCTGGCGCAAACTCCCGGACCATTCACTACGAAAAAGCCAGATGTGTTGGAGGAGCGTATGTCCTACTGGTGAGCCTCTGGTTATAAATTGGCTGACTGAATCTATCCCTACATAGAACGGCAAGCAATTTTATGCTATACCACAGGTCAGTTGCTTCCCATCGTTCCCGAGAGAAGAACCCAAAATTGACTGGCCGTAGACCGACAATAGGATCGATGAAACTATGGGCTGAACTCGTAGATGATGAAAGTTACATCTTCGACAATGTCTTCCCTCTGTTCAGGAAGACGATTAACTTCACCGCACCCAATGATGAACTTCGTCCTGCAAACGCCACCGTGAGCTATCGGGAGGATGCTTACGATAGAGAAGGTCAACCCGTTGACGTGACTTATCCTCATGCTGCCTCGCCATTTTCTAGCTGGCTCCAACTTGGGTTGGAATCGGTGGGGGTCGAAGTAACCTCCGAGTTCAACAGTGGGTCTCTGTTCGGCTCCTTTTATTGTCCGTTCACTATACGACCCGACGATCAGATTCGAAGCAGCTCGGAATCGGCATTTATTAGGTCACCGTCGTCTTCGAGATACTTACGAACCTTGACATTATACAGGAACACCATGGGCAAAAAGATTCTGTTTGATCAAAAGCGAGCAACAGGGGTTGAGGTTGCTACTGCAGGCTCGAAGTATACTCTCAGCGCGACCCACGAGGTCATCATATCATCAGGTGCCTTTCAGAGCCCTCAGCTACTCATGGTTTCTGGGATTGGTCCCGCCGATGTCCTCCAAGAGCACGAAATTGATGTTATTGTGGATCTACCAGGAGTCGGTCAAAATCTGTGGGACCAGCCCTTCTCCGGACCGACGTACCCAGTGGCTGTGGAGACATTTAATAAGCTGGCTATGGATTTACAATATCTTATAAGTCAGATAAGGGAGTTTAAAACATCTCATACTGGAGCGCTGACCAACCATGGATTCGACTACATTGCTTTCGAAAAGCTCCCAGGTAGCTCGCGGGCCCGATTCACTGAACGCACGGAGAATGACCTTTCTTGGTTTCCAGAAGACTGGCCAGAGATCGAGGTATGTTTCCTATACACCCCTGCACTTTACAAGACCGGAGGATGCTAACTTTCTGGATCTGATATAATAGTATATCGCTGTGCCACTTTTCGCTGGCAACTTTTCCGATCCAATTACTATGCAACCGCAAGATGGGAGGCAATATGCGACCATTATACCTACACTCATGGCCCCAACGTCTCGTGGAAACGTTACTATAATCTCAGCTGATACGGATGACCTTCCAGTGATCCACGCTAACTGGCTTGCTACAGAAACAGATCAGCAAGTTCTAGTTGCAGCATTCAAAAGAGCCCGTGACATGTTCCGCAGTGAAGCCATGGCACCCGTCGTTGTTGGAGAAGAATACTTCCCAGGACAAGAGCATCAAAGTGATCGTGAAATCCTCGAAGTCATCCGGGATACAGTCATGGCTCCGTGGCACGCGTCCTGCACATGCAAGATGGGGACTCGTTCTGATCGCATGGCGGTCCTTGATAGCCGAGCGAGGGTGTTTGGAGTTGAGAGATTGAGAGTGGTCGATGCTAGTGCATTTCCATTTCTTCCTCCTGGTCATCCACAATCGGTTGTTTGTATGTTCTGTGCCGCCCTTGTCTGCTTGTGGAATTTGCTGACCGTCGAACTGCAGACATGCTTGCGGAGAAAATAGCCTCGGATATCATAGGCGAGAGAGACGATGGCGTCTAAAATGAGACGGGGCTAAATTTGTGATACGGGATAGCACGTGTGCTTAACTCCTGGGACTGAGTGGAAGGCTTGACGCGGTGACGGATATGGTTAACTTGAATGAGCTCACCGATTGCTCTCGGATGCTCTATTTCATCAGTGGTAGTGTTATTGTTATGTGACCCATGAACGAATCTTATCATCTTACGATATCAACCACGGAGTAACCTCAGCGTAAACATTCCAGCCAATAAGCTGTATCCGCACATGTACCACACCAAGTCAGCCTCCCACCATACTTTGCATATACAACATATCTCACCAACCAGAACCCCTACCCATATCCTGGGCCTTCCTGCAAAGCGAGCATGGAGCCATAGAACAAGTGCAACCCGTGGTGACTTACGTATGATGTAGGGGGCTGGTCGGTATGAACGCATTTGCGACACAAACACAATCGAATATCATACGAACTGTGCGACGCACGCCATTGCATCGACCCGAGTTGCCGACCCCTTCGCACTAGGTACCTTGAGCCGAAGATTCCTTCGAGAACCCCATCAGGAAGTGAGGAAACCCCCGACTGGAGCCAAAAAGGAAAGAGAAAGTATAACTAGTTGCTTCGAGGGCTGACTGCCAATCTATCGGAAGATTCTACGGTGGAGCCCAGCCCTGTCTGACTTCATTCCCACTGGGCTCGGATGGAAATGATGGGACGGAATTCGGTTCATTCCATGGTTGGCCTCGTATGGGAAACCTGCTAATCCTCAAGTGGAGAAACGAAGTACGTTACCGTACCTTTTCTCTTCTTTTCTATTTTTTACTTCATTGCCGACTTTTTGTCTGCGTAGGACAGATGATATTGGCGGGGGTGGTTCAATAGAGGAGGGGGGGGGGGGGATAAAATAAAATGATCGGTACTACTATTGGATCCTAGTTTGTCATAGTCCGGCGTCTGGAGCATGCAACCTGCATCATGTAGTATGGAGTGGGTTAAAAAAGTGATGTATGTACAAAAGTAGGTCTCTACCCGTCAGATGACCCCAGATTGCCACGTATCAACGGAAGTGATCCCAAATATGAGTTCATCTCCGCAAACAGTTACCCTCATGGATCTCTTTTAACTTAAATAATTCTGACGAGTTTGTGCTATAGGTGGGAGGGAAGGGAAACGAATGGATTTGACTATAGTCTACCACGCCATCCGTTCTCCCCGTCCAACTCAACTCCACCGCAAGTGGATGTTCGAGCTTATCAAGGGAGTGGATTCTGAAGATCAGACGCAATCGCAGAATGTTGGTTGGATGCCGATCAATTGGGTTTGGGTTCCCAGCTGGACATGGTGGGGAGGGCTTTTTTTTGTAGAAGAACGCAATTGGAGGGTGGGTGAAATGTTGATGCGAGAAGGAAGGGGATGGGGGGAAAACTGGAACCCTGGATGGTTTTATTTTATTTTATTTTTGGTTCATATCTTGTCTTTGTTCATCTTTCCCCGGATTTCCCTGATGGTCCGGATGATGAGATTGAGAATGTTGATTCGACTGATGAAGACGTCAGATCGCACAGGGGTGGTTTTGGTTTGACCCACGATGATGAAACAGCTGTCGTTGCTGTTTCTCATCTATCGTCATTTCCATACTGAAGACTACTCTATAAGACTGGATTCTACTGTAGTATTTGCCTGGTGGGCAAAACGATCATTACCTGAAGGAGGAGGGAGGAGGTGATGTTTTCGGGTCTGGGTGAATAAGCAGGCCTCTTCCTGCACTTGGTACTGCGTATGTCCTAGATCCATGCATGAGAGATGCGCTGATTTTCAGGGTGGGAAAAAAAAAAA